TAAAAAAATCAGCTGCCAGCAAGTAATGAAGCTTGTACTCGACATAATACAGTAAAAGTAGAAATGATTCTAACCAAAATTGGAGAGAAAAGCATAACAGCGCACCAAATAAATTGAATGTGTCCAAGAACAAATTGGCTGTATTGCCTGGATACGAATGTGGCACACTGAAATCTAGCAAATTTATTAAAAAAGTTGTGGTTTTTTAAAAAAACAGCCGGCAAAGCATTCCATCCATCACTGGTTGCCACTTTCCTATCAGCTACTGATCCATAGTTCCATTCTCCAGCTATGCAGTGTTTTGACCAATGCCACTTCATGTGATGATTAGCATGCTAGAGGTCTTGACGTTTCTTCCAGTGGAAAATAAAGTAAAGAAAACACAGACAGGATGATCTGAGACGAAGAATTATTTCAGTAACGTCCAAGACACCGTACTATGGGGCAGAGAAGAAAAGAAAGATGTATTCCACCCTGAAAGGCAGATGCACAGTGGATGTGCTGCCAAGCTGAAGCTGGAGTACCAGACTGGTGGTATAGTGGTAACATGTTGCGTCTGGATGTAAAGAGAAGTGGTTCGATCCCCTCCCGCTCCAGAACAATTTTCAAGAGAAAGTTCCGCTCACGACAGTAGTAGTGCAAGGACATTTACCAACATCAACCACCCGCTAGCTAAGCGGGTCAATGTTTGCATTTTTACAGCAGATATAACACCATGGCATGTGCCAGAACCAATTTTGCATCGAAAGAAATGAACAAATTGTGTAGGGTTTGGTTGACCCACTGGTGGAGTCAAACCCTCGACCTCCTGCATGAATATAGTGCTACTCTCCTTTGCACCATGACTGCTGGCCACTCGTGCCATACCATTTTTGCGTAATACACACAATTCTTTTTGTATGAAAAACACATCTTCATCGTATTGTGCTGTAAAGATGCTTTACCCGATGACTTTACACTATACTGTCTACAAGAATCATGCCTAATGGGAAGTTCAAATAAAAAAATAGTATACCTTATTAAAACCTCCTCCATTAAAGCCATACATTGAAGTTGTTAATGTTAATAAAATAACTCCAGTTAGAGAATAACCTAAAAATAGTCCAATTTAGATGCTCCAGAGGAACATTAATCAAAATCTTTGCAAGAGTTAAGAAGTTGCAAAAAAAAAAAAAAACTAAGTTTATCAAGATCGCTCAGACATCATTCTGGATATCCCAGGTTAGTGATGTTGCTAGAACAGTTTGTTGACTTCTCAACAGTTACAGCATTCTAGTTGGACTCTTTAGGCTTCTCATCATTTTTATATTCCCGAACAATGCTTTTTGAGCAATGAAAAACTCCAAAAATGAGCATCAGGATGCCAGCAAGTTAACCAGGAAACGAAGGACAACTGGTCAAAAAACTGGAAAAGTTGCTACCTACAAAACTATAGAAAACGGCTTAATTTAAGGCTATTTTTTACCAAGTATTTCAGGTATATGGGCTTCTCAGACTTTGGAGTTTTCAGACTGCTTTCCTTTTATAGTCTGATCAGATTCGCTAGAAATTAAGAAAATTTTTAAAATACTTACCCTGAGGCACAAAAGCCAGCGCTATCATAAACATCGCGGAAGCACCGAGCGCTATCGAATTGAAGACGCGAATTTTTGTGGTCTCCGAGAGGAAGCCTATCTTATCGCTACTGTGACCAGCAGTTATCTGTAATCTTGTTTGATGACGTTTGATGAAGCCCGGAATTGGAATAGACAGAAATATGCGCACGAAGGATTTCCAAATTTGTTTGTAACTAATAAATAATGGTCAAACCTTGACGAGAAACTGGAACAGCACCGGGCATGCAGCCGAAAATCCAGTATTTTCCACCGAATATTCAAGAATTCCTTTGATGTACCGTGGACTGAATGTATGTATTAGCTAAATAATAAACTCATCATTTACCAAAA